AGGATAAGGTACAATCCCCAATGAATAGTTCCCCTCTTTTCCAGATGGATCTGGTGAAAGGGAATGGTGGGGGATGATGGTTACAGGAATTTTATGATTCAACTGTGAATAACTATTATCAGGATTAATTGTGATTGTCACAACCGTAACTGTAGATGTGTAATCAAAAGTGGGGAGTAGTTCATCTTTCATTTCAGGAACACACAATCCCAGGACCATCAAGAAGGGAGAGCATGAGTGGACAGTAAGATCCCTACCTAGAAAAGTAGGGACAGCAGAGACAGTGGCAGAGGCGGTGGCATGGAGAGACAGAGCAGCTGTGGGCTCGAGGCCTAGGGACTGAGAAAGGCTGTGTGCCTACAGGTAGGAGGCTGGCTTGCAGAATGTGCCCTTTGAACATTTATATGAATATATATTTTTTTGTTTTGTATGTGTACATCAAATATTTTTGCTATGTTCATTTGTGAAATACAAGATGTAAATGGAGAGCTACAGGGAAGAAGTAGGGTAACTGTTGTTGCAGGGAGGGGATTGTAATCATTGAGATGAAGCAAAGTATATAGTTTGTTGAACGTAAAGTTGATGATCTTGTCTGCAAGCCTTCACTCGTGTCACAATAAAAAGTTAAATATTTATAAATATTGCCTTCATGTAAATTTTTACTGAAGATAATTTAAAAATGACCACAACCATACACTGACAAGGAACTGGCAGAGGTTCAAGCCAGATTTACACAAGGTCAAGGAATAAGGGATCTCATTGCTGACGTCAGATGAATCTTGGCTGAAAGCAGAGAATACCAGAAAGATGTTTATCTGTGCTTTACTGACTGTGCAAAGGCATTTTGATTGTGTGGATCATGACAAGCTACGGACAGCATTGTAGGTAGGAGTATTCCAGAACACTTAATTGTGCTCATAAGGAATCTGTACATAGACCAACAGGCCGTTGTTTGAACAAAACAGGAAATGGTGAATGCTTTAAGATTAAGAAACATATGTGCCAGGGTTGTATTCTTTCACCATATTTATTCAACCTGTATGCTGAGCAAAAAATCTGAGAAGATGGACAATATGAAGAAAAATGTGACATCAGGATTGGAAAAAGACTCATTAACAACCTGCAATATGCAGATGATACAACCTTGCTTTCTGAAAGCGTTCAGATGGGTTGCATGTTAATGCAAAGAAAACAAAAATCCTCACCACTGGACTAATAAATAACATCAAGAAAAATGGAGAAAAGACTGAAGTTGTCAAAGACTTCATTTTGCTTGATTCAGCCATCAACACTCATGGAAGCAGTAATCCAGAAATCAAATAACGTATTGCATCAGGCCTATCTGCCGCACAAGACTTCTTTAAAAGTGTTGAAGAGCAAAGATGTCAGTTTGAGGACTAAGGTGCACCTGACCCAACTCATGGTATTTTCAATAATCTCATATGCATGTGAAAGTTGTACAATGAATAAGAAAGACCATAGAAGAATGGATGCATTTGAATTACGGTGTTGGAGGAGAATATTAAAAGTACCCTGGAGTGCCAAAAGAACAAACCAATCTGTGTTGGAAGAAGTACTACAACCATAATGCTCCTTAGAAGCCAGGTTGGCCAGATTTCTGTTTCTCATACTTTGGACATGTTGCCAGGAGGGACCAGTTCCTGGAAAAGGGCATCATGCTTGGTAAAGTAAAGGGTCAGCAAAAAAGAGGAAGAGCCCCTAATGAGATAGATTGGCACAGTGGCAGAAGCAGTGGGTCCAAGCATATCAACTGAGGCTGGCACAGAACCAGGTAGTGTTTCATTCGGTTGTACACAAGGTCGTTATGAGTCAGTACCAACTCAATGATACCTAACAACAATAACGTATCCAAAATATTACCATTTCATATCCGGCTGTCAGATTGAGCAAACAGAAATACAGGGCACCAGATTCAACATGTTTCTTTTTTAAATTGTGGAGGTGTGGTGTGGAGTCTAAGATAAGCACTATACTACTAACAGCAAGTTCAGCAGTTCAAACCCACAATCATTCCTCTGAAACCCATACAGGGTTGCTATGAGTCGGAACTGACTCCATGGCACTTAACAACAACATATATGTAACAAAACATTCATCATTTCAATAGTCTTCACATGTGCAATGCTATGACATTGTGTTCATGTTTTGAATTAATGTTTAAAATCAGATGAACAACAATTTTTTTTTTTTTGGTAAAAGTATATCCCATGTAATTGGGATATACTCATGTCAAGAAATAATGTTGTTTATCAAAAGTTCAAATTGAACTGGGTATCCTGTTTTTTTATCTGGCTACTCTAATTTCAACATGTGATCGCTACATAAAGTTGATTAATGAGATGTGTTAAATTGTTTTATTCATTCTAAGTCTTTGGAATCCAATGTGTATTTTATATTTACAACACATCTTAATTGGGACACACCCATTTTCAATGCTCAACAGCCACAAATAGCCATTGCTGTTGTTGAGTGCCATCAACCTTGTTCTGACTCACAGCAACCTTGTATAGGGTTTCCAACAAGCAGTTGGTGGGTTTGAACTGCTGATCTTGTGATTTGCAGTCCAGTGCTGATCCACAGTGCCACACCAGAAGTACATTGTTTTTGTTAGGTGCCTTCAATTTGGTTCCAACTCACAGGGACCCTATGCACAAGAAAAAGAAACACTGGCTGATCCTGCTCCAGCCTCGGGATTGTTCTGTGTGAGTCCATTGTTCCTGCCACTGGGTCAGTCCATTTCACTGACCCTCTACTTTGCCAAGCATGAGGTTTCAGACAACAACAATTGTGAGGTTGTTTCAGGACTGGGCAATGTCTTATTCTGTTGTGCACAGGGTTCAGAAACAACTCGATAGCACCTATCAACAACAACTAAGTTCACAGCCTGTCCTAAAGACTCTGATAATTATGTATTACATCATTTAATCCTCTTAACAACCTTCAAACTAGCTACTAGTACAACGTCTATTTACACATGAGGAGAGCAAGGTTTAGAAGCTTATGTAACTTGCCCGAGAAAGTTAGAGAACTGTCTGTAGATACATCAGTGGCTGCAGAGATGGACTGATACATACATATTCCACCCTAGCTACACACTGGCCATCCCTGGGTGGTGGCAAACACTGAAGGTGCTCAGCTGCTGAAGGTTGGAGATTCAAGTCTACAAAGAAACACCACGGTAAAAGCTCTGGTGACGTACTTCCGAAAACCCAGCTATTGAAAACCATAAGGAACACAGTTCCATTCGGACATACATGGAGTCCCATGAATCAGGACTGATTCAATCGTAAATAGTTTGTTTTTGTTCCCATGATTATTGATTTCCTCTGGAAAGTGGGCTTGGAAATTTGGTGTTAAGGAAACCAAAGTTTCAGAGAAGAAAACAGTCTCTAGGACTGATTGCCTGGACTAGACTCATCTATTTTGAGACCAGAAGGGCCAGGTATCCAGCTTCCACTTCAGACCATTCTGATCAGGACCACAGTAGACAGACTCTGATAGACTGGGAAAAAAATGCAGAACAAAACTCATATTCTAAAACAGCCCAGACTTACTGGACTACTTGGAACTAGAGGGCTTCCTAAAACACTCTGAGATGCTCTTTGAACCTTGAACCAAAGTCACCTTTTAGCAAAATAACAGATTGGCACACAAAAGAAAGGACAATACCTGTGAATAAGGTGTTCCATCAAAAAAAAAAAAAAAAAAAAACCACCTACATGAGACCAAAAGATTAGCAATGACTCTAAAGCAAAGATGAGAAGATAAGGGGACAGGGCAACTAGAGCACTGGAAATAGAACAACCAGAACACAATCAAAGACAATGTTGATACATTGTAAAACATGTGAACCAACTGTGTAAAAATTTATAACTGGGCACCTAATTTGCTATATAAACTTTCACTGAAAACACACACACACAATAAAACATTAAAAAGAAAAGAAAATCTGGTTTGTACCATCAGAGACCCATCTTTGAACCCTGGCTCTGTCATTTACTAACCAAGCCTCACTTTCCTCATCTTTGAAATGGGAGTCACTATTGTCTACCCCACAGGATCAGCACTGGTCTGCGAACCACAAAGTCCGCAGCTCAAGACCACCAGCTGGTCCTTGGAAACTCTACACAGGGTCGCTATGAAAGCACTTAACAACAACATTGTCTACCCCACAGGGTGTTGTGGCCTAAGCAAGTATAAGGACTGTAGAGAAGCACACAGTGGAGACTGAGGAGAATGTGGTAAGTTCTCAGCAAAGTAATTTATTATTTTAACCTGTTTCTTTGTCCTTTCCTAGTTCGATGTAGGATCCGCACTGGACTGCAAACTACATGGCCAGCAGTTCAAACCTATTAGCTCTTCCTCAGGAGTCCTATACAATGTCACTAGGAATTGGAACCGACTTGACAGCACTTAACAACAATAACAAAGGTGAGTATCAATCATTTTTACAAACAGAAAAAAAGTTACTTTCAAGAAGGACGAAAACTTCCCATGAAACAGCTGAAGAAAAAGAGGAAGGAAGGCAAGAAAGAGCGAGCTGGAGAAATTCTCCTGAGAGTTAACAGTGGTGGTGGTGGTGGTGGTGGGCCTCTCCCCCGCAATTTTTAAACTGACCACCAGAGGGCACTGCCCACCATTCCATGGGACCCAGAAATGCTCCCAGAGGGTGTCCTAGGCAGTCATCTTTATGGAAACAGATTCCTGAGATTTTTCTCACACAGAGGCACTGGTGGTTCTAACTGCCAACTTTTCCAATGCTAACCAAACACTTGGCCACTGAGCCACCTAGGGCTTTTTTGTAATTTCCAAAGCTTGGGAAACAGATCCCCTTTACAAAGCAAAAATTTGCAAGGAACAATTACCAAAACCATTCATTTTAACAGAGTTCATCCCCCAAGAGCCGTCCCGACAACCACTTCTCTTACAGGCACAAGGGGAACCTGTACCTCTGTACTGCGCCGCAATCTGCATCTTACCTTTGGTGTCTTCTTTGGCCAAGTAACCACAGGGACACCAGTGATGGCCAGACTGGGGTCATCATCTGCATGTTCCTTCAGAACGTTCTGCAGTCAAGCAAAGAAGCCAGGTTAGCCCAGGGCAGTGGGAAGGCTGATGAAGGGGCCAAAGCTGGGGCTAAGCCAGAAGCCAACGGAGGGCTTTCCACAGTCATTGTCTGCACCCACGCACACACACACACATACACACACACACACTCAATGTCAACTGTATCATCAGGGTAACCCCAGAGTCCCTAAAACACCTTCAGTCACTACAAAAAGGAACCCCTTTCTCAGGATTCCTTTCCAGAGTAACTGAAAGTGTCTTCACCACACTACCTGTTGTTGGATGCGGCTGAGTCAATTTCATAGACACCCCCTGTAACAGAGTCGAACAGCCCATGGGATTTCCTAGGTTGTAGTTTTTCTGGGAGCAGACCCTCAGCTCTTTATGTGTCCCATGGTGCTCGTAGATGGCTCTGAACTAACAACCTTTTTATTTTTAAATGTTTTATTATGAATTATGTGATAGTTTACATGGGAGAACTTTAGTTTTACATTCATCCTATCATATATCGTTTCATTGCCATGGTTACAATCCCCTCCATGCATCATCAACTAACCAAAGGGTATACCCTGCAAGCCTGCCCCCGTACCCCCCAGGTCGTCAGCACACAGTCCCTCTCCCTCTCTGGGTCTAAAGTCCCCAGCTGCTCCATCTCTTCAGGTCATCGTCTCTGCCTCCATCTCTGGCGTCACTGCTTCTCTGGGTAGGGTCCTGTTCTCCACACTTCTCCCTTGATGGTCCCATGGACCTCTGCTCCTAGACTGAAAAGTAAATCACTCCCCTCCTTGCTACAAAACGTCCACCTCTACATTTCCAACCCTCGCAATCAGTCCTGATAACAATTATTTACTACTGTATCACAAAAGACCTATCCACATTTCCTTTCATCAGCCCCACCTAGACAGATTGGATATTACTCATAGGAGATTCTACCTTCCTCCATGCCCTCTGGATCTAGGTTCCCTCTTGAAAGCTTGTAAGCCAGTCACTTCTTGCCTTTGTAGCCTCCCCATTTTGGGTAGCCAATGTCCAAGTTGCCCACCCCTGTCTACTCTGTGTGTGGAGGGGGTGGGAATGATCCTCGCTGTAAAGATTTGTTCCCTCTTTTGAACTACTTTATCCATAGCTGTAGGTCAAGTTCATCAAATTGTATCAGATGACTCTTTTTTTTCCTCTTTCTCCGCTCTAGTCCTCTGTGGCTGTGTCACTGACTCTAGGCCCAAGAGTCCCCAGGTCTTGCCACACTGCTGGCCAACCAGGTCTCCACCGGGGTTCACAGAAGTCTATTGAACATTGTCAGGCTTAGCTCGCAGCTTCATTGCTGTTTTTCCCTCACTTTCCCTTATGGGTGATAAACATGGCCACCAATCAGAGCCTGTATTTCCACTGAGTCTTAGTGTTGGAAGGGGGTTTGCTCTGAGGGGACACGACCACTTGCCTTGATGTATCCTGGGCAGCAACTTGCTTGTTCTTGTAGTGATTAGTCAGTCTGTCTCTATTGTTTTGTATTTTTCCTGTCTTTCTTTCAAGAGGTATCTTTTGTTCTTCTAGCAGCTCCAGGCTGGTCTGCCTGTCCTTTCAAGTGGAAATTTCCCATCTCTGAAGATTCTGGATGCTGTTCAGGATTCCACCTGTAGTCTTATGTAATGCAGAGGCTCTGCAGGAAGCCTCCTTCACTGGGCATGTTGTAGCCCCATTTTAGGTATTCTAATCAGTTAAAGATGGACTTATGAGCTATCTATGATGATATTTCTGGCTATTTCTTTCTCTCCCCCTCCAGTGTCTGCTTTATAATGGTATGCAAGGGAAACCAAGATTCAAAAGACAGCCAAGCATCTTAACATTATTTCCCCCCTTTTCCCCATTTCAACCATGTCTCAATCCCTGTATCCCAGAGCCCTGTTGTTCCACAGTTGTGCATACATCATTCTTTACCTCTGTCCCACATAGCCCATGTAAACTTGCCTAATTGTTCTCTCATATGCTTTGTTCTTCCATTCTCCTCCCCCTTCTTGTATATTGCCCCCCTCCCCAGCACCCACACTATTCTGTGTCTAATCCCTGCCCTGTGCTTCACTTTCCCTTCCCTCCCCTCTGAACCAACAACCTTTCAGTTAGCAGTTGACAAGCTTTACTGTTGCACCACCAGGGGTCCTATTGTGGTGTGTCATCATGATTCATAGCGCCCCCATGTGACAGAGCAGAACTGTCCCACAGGGTTTCCTAGACTGTACTCTTCGTGGGAGCAGGTTGCCAGATCTTTCTTCTGAGGTGCTTCTGCTGCTGGTACGTGCCGTCACATCAGTTCCAGCTTATAGTGACCCTGTATAGGGGCTTCGAGACTTAAAAAAAAAAAAAAATCTTTGCAGGAAGCCTCATCTTTCTCCCACAGAGCGGTTGGTTGACTCGAATCACCGACCTTGTAGTTTGCAGTCCTATGCTTATCATATGGAGCCACCGCGATGCATGGGTCTAAATTCCCAGACTTTTCAATTAACAGTCAAGCGCTTAACCATTATATCAAAAGGGCTCCTTATCCTCTAACCTATTTAAAGACTCCAGTAATAATGTAAATCAATCAATCACTGTCACGGAATTCTCTTGACTTCCCTGTGGGATACACTAGTACCATTCTCCATGACCCAGATGAGGAGAGGTTTCAGTCGATCAAATGAATAGTCAAAATCAGATAGCTAGTGGAAACTGAAGCCACATCCATCAACCCCAATGATTGTGTTCTTAACCTCTGACATCATTCGACCCATCTTTAAAAATAAAGTGAAGAGTGGGCAAAAGTATTCCTTTGGTAAGTAATATACTCAGAGATTCTACAAAGCACAGGGTAGAAATCTAAGGGCTCACTAGTTAAATTCTTAAGTGTTCTGCTTGGGAAAAAATACTAGTTCTAGAGTCAGGAGGTCTAAGTTCAAGTTCTGTTAACGTCCAGGCTCTGTGACCTTGAGTATGCCTCAGCTTCCTATTACCCCAGCTGGGAGCTGAACAATGACACTCACTCACCTTTCCTACAAGGCTGATAGGATTTCAACCGTTCTTACTGGCATTCCTGGGGTATTTCAATAATCCCATCTGTGGGACAGATGGATTCTCTCCATTTCACCCAAGCAAAAACTGAAGTTCAGAGAGATTAAGTGATTTGTCCAAACCCACACAGCTGGCAGATGGCAGAACCTGGCATGGATCCAAGTCCAGCTGCTTCCAAAGCCTCAGTTGTAAACACAAGGCCTCAGGAAACCATTTCAGTGACCTCCTCACCAGATCTAAAGTCTGCTCTTAAGAAAAAAAAAAAAAAGACACCTAGAAGACAATCCAAATTTTAGAATCCAAAAAACCAATTTCCATAATGTAAGAATCCTGCTGTGGCACTATGGGTTAATGAGCTAGATGGTTTGAATAGCTAGCACATTTGGCAGTTCAAGCTCACCAGTCACTCATAGGAAACCCTATACAGGGTCACTACGGGTCAGAACCGACTTGACAGCACTTAACAACAATAGCCTTCTAGAACTCCTGGTGTCAAACTTTAGGATAAGCACTAGACTATTAACCAAAAGGTCAGAGGTTCAAACCCACTAGCCACTCCTTGGAAACCCTATACAGGGTTGCTTTGAGTCAGAACCAACTCAACAGCACACAACAACAAAAGAAGGCAAGCCAGGCTTCATACTCACCCCTGTATTAGCAAATAAATCCTTGTCTATTCCCTTCAATGTGCTTGACTGCAAACCAAAAGGTTGGAGGTTCGAGTCCACCCAGAGGCACCTTGAAACAATAGCTTGGTAATCTACAGCCAAAAAGTCAGTCACTGAAACACTGTGGAGCACAGTTTTACACTGACACACACAGGAATATCATGAGTTGGAAACAACTGGTTTTTGTCTATTCCGCACAAACCAGAGAGAGAACTAATTCAGACATGGAGACAGCATTTCTCAAGGCCTTGTCCCCTCACCAACCATCACAAACATGACATTTCTTTGACATTTTATGTTTTCTTTTAATAACCTCTATGAATTTTATACTCTCCTCCAGAATATAGCAGTGTTTGTTTTATTCTAAAAATACCACCCCTTAGTTCTCCAGTGCAGCCATATGAGGAATACAAGCAGAAGTTCATTCTCTCACAGTTTAGGGGCCTAGAAGCCAAACTCAATAGTGCAGACTCTGAAGAAAGGTTTTTGTCTCCTGTGAGTATCCTTAGGCCCAGCATGCCTTGGAAATCTCCATGGGTTTTGACATCAAGTTTCCCTGGATCTAGGATCTTCACAGTACAGGGATCCTAGGTCCAAAGTACATACTCCACTTCCAGCTCTTCTTTATTAGTAGCAGTAGGTCCCTCTGAACTCTGCTTGCTTGTTTAATTTATTTTACATCATGAAAGAAAGAGATTCCAGATACAACCTAATCCTGTAAATTGCACCCAAACTCATTAACATCATATTGTATTGTTGTTGTTGTTAGGTGTCATCCAGTCAGTTCTGACTCACAGTGTCTCTGCACAACAGAACAAAATACTTCCCAGTCCTGTGCTGTGCGATCCTTACAATTGTTATGTATGGGCCCATCATTGTAGCCACTGTGTCAATCCATCTCACTGGAGCTCTTCCTCTTTTTCCCTGACTCTCCACTTTTCTAACGATTTCCTTCTCCAGGGATTGGTTCCTCCTCATAACTGCATGTTTCACCAAGCCTTTCAATCCCCTCTCATAGGAGGCTCTGTGTAGGTGGAGAAAGGGATCTATCACTTCTAGAAGACATTTTACCCCCTTATTCCACACCCTCAACATGACAATTAACACAGTGGTTGCTGCAATTTGGCTCAAACACAGGACTGAGTAGTCCTTCAGAAGGCACTCACCATCCCAGCACCAATCTCTAGGCTAGGGTTGGCAAACTTAAATAGCTCCGGGGACTGAGCAAGTGGACCAGGGGATCAGACAACAGGAAGTGGTGAGTTCTGTGGCAAAACAGACACCAACAT